ATCTTCTACAAAATTAAATATAAATTAAAGCTTCCAGGGCAGAGCTCTCTTTTTCTTTTAAAGGCCACTGGTGGCAAACACTTCATTTAATGATGAAGCCAGGGACTAGTCTGCATCTTTCCAGGAACAGACATAAATCAGACCTACTTTGGAGGCAGTAAAGGCATCTATACTTGTGCATTCGTAGTTTAATCTATTCATACTTTATTGTAGAATGAGAGAGTAGGGTCTATTCTCTGCACTTGTGCATTTTTCTCCAAGAACCTAAGCAAATTTCATAAGGATTGATACAGTATATTGTGTTACAGAAATAAATAAATAAATAAACAAGCCCCAAACCCTAAAACATTTCCCATGCTCATTTTCCTAAATTACTGTGCTAAAGCATCTATTAACTTTCACCTTCTCATTCAATCTCTGTGTGAGAATAGCAGTACATTATCATTTCTTGAAAACACAATTAATGTTCATTCCAGTGTACTAATGGACCTTAATCAAATGTGTGAAGCTTTGTATCTAACACTCAAACAATGAAACTGTACCTATCTGACTAGGGAATAAAGGATCTATTATACTGGTACTTCTGTTTGAATAAAGGTTATGCCAGAAACTTTAGAGACTCCAATGGTTGTTAGTCTATTTAGAAGCTATTTAAAATCTAATAATCAGCAACCCATAACATCCAAGATGTATAAATTCATACAGAAACATAATTGAATGAAGAAAGAAATTATGCTCACGTTCAGAGTCTAGGATGCTTTTTAAAGCATATTCCTTTTGAGAGTCTGTTGATGGAGTGAATACAATGGAGCTGAACAGAAAAGAATGAGGAAAAACTGGTTTTCCCCTCCTTGCTAATGCCTCTCATGGGAAGGCTCTTTTCTAGTCTGGTTTATTTAACAACCAGCTGGGAGTGCTGGGTAGGAGTGGAGGTGGAAACTCTTTGGGGTTCCTTATGCCAAAGATCTGTACCTGATGCCTGTCACTGTGCCAGAATGACATCTCCGGAGCAGAGCTCCTAGATTTATAGGAGTGACTCCAATGGATGCATTTCCTCTTTGATATATAGCTGAAATACTTAAGTATTTCTGTGGAAGGGCGTAAATTTGCACTGAATTCTCACATTAAAACGTTACTTACATTAATGAAGTCTTGGGGAAGAGGGTGAATAGAAAGGCTATGACTATCTCACCTGGGGGAAATAATTTTGAAGTCGATATTTATAGTGATTAAGCAATTCTCTGAGGTTTTGATCCTTCAAAGAGGAATGAACATAAACTTTAAATCTGCAACTTGTCACACTGAAGAAAGTTCTGTGGCTGCAAGTGACATTACTTTTATGTTAACAATGATCACAGCTAAAGTTAGACTGCGATCATTTTTAAGCTTGGATGTGCAGATTTCTTCTTTTCTCATAAAAAAGCTAGATTTGCTATATATTTGAGATGACAGAGCTAAGCCAGTTGTCTGAGGCTGTTGTACACTAAAGTTGTTTTTCACTCTTGACAGCTGGTTAACACAGCAAGTTCCGCAGCCAGCTGACCAACTGAAGGTTGAGAGAAATGGCATGTGTAAAGTGCTTCTTTTTACTTGTCTTTGTGCAATGTGAAGGAAAAAAAAATTAGCCCTAATCCCAAGGTCCCATCAGTTATATTTGCACATCTGCACTTAAAAAAAAAAAAAAATATCCCTGGTGAATGAAATGTTTTCAGAATGAAGAAGGGAGATTGCACAAGAGAACTGTTACATTGCAGAGATCTCTCTGGAGCATAAGATGTTGGGACTGGAGGACAAAATGGCACTTAAGAGCCACAAGAGCTCACTGTACTAATGGCTCAGCTCACAGTATAGTGCTCCTATCCTTTTTATTCACTCAACTGAATTTATCACTATGACCCATAAAACAGTTATGAGCACCTACAGGGCAAAGACACCCTGGATTCAGGTGGTACTTACCCCAGTTGCATGCTTAAGCCGAGGTCTGTAAAGGTGTGTCTCCTCTCTTGCCACTCATAGGGAAGCTGCCGGGGCTTAGCTGCTCTGCTGCAGCATGAAGACTGTGCAGTCAAGAAGGAGATTATGGGATCATGCCCTTATTTTTCAGCATTTTGGACACATCTCTGCAGGGAAGAGTAAAAGGCTGTATTTCACAGCTATGATATCATTCTTGTAAGCTATATTTCAACATGAGCCACTATAAAACCTTTCCCATGACATCAGAGTTGTGAAATATAGCTGACTTCAAGTGCAGAAAATTCCCCTGCAGGAATAATTGTTTCCTGGCAATTGGCATTTGAAGGACTGATTTTTTAAAAGGCTGGCACAAATCCTGTCTAGGTAATGCTGCTCCAGGCAGCACTTCTCAGGAAATGCTATGTGCAGGTATGGAGCCCCACCATGGGATTTGGCCATAGGGGTAATGGAACGAGCACTGGGAGAGTCTGTCAGGTGATGGTTTTCACTCCTTATGCCTCAGCAGTCCATGCAGACTTTCACTAATAGCAAAATAATAGGTTTGCTCATGTGCTGTGCTCCCTACCTCAGACTCTGCCTCCCCAGTAAGGCAAGTCACATGTGCAGTGCCAGAGCTACCGTCTAATCCATCATTTTCCATCTGCCCTCCAACACAGATCATCCTGATGATACATGTGTGCTGATACGTGGCAGCTCATGGCGTCTGCCACTGCTTAGGGCACTATTTAACTCACCTGGGCAGGCCCCAACCTCCCTGCAAAGCAACCTGGCAAGAAAATGGAGATAAAAAACATGGTGTGAGACACATTTTCTTCTTTCATATCACATGAAGGAAGATGTCAATCAGAATACAGTCCACTCAGAGCCAAGGTTTGAGTGGATGTTGGCACAGTTGTAAAGGACAAGATCCTATGCAGGTCAGAAGGGTACAGGAGGATGATAAGAGAGACTATAGACAAAGGGAGAGTCAAGGCCACCTCAGCTCTCCCTAGCCTGGTGCTTGAATCTGCTGCTCGTGTCCCCCTCCAGTGACCTGCACACTAGTTTGGCACTGCTCCATCAATTGCACTGAAGGCAATTGTTGAACACATTGTAAAGCTTAGTCATGCTGGCTTTTTCTGTTCATCCTCTGGGAAGATCTTGTACTGGTCAGCAGCTCTGTTCCTGCTGTTCTGTGTGTACATGTTTACGTGTATATGTGTACACCCATGTGTTTGTGTCTCTCTCACAACACTCAAAGCTGTATGTGGACACACCTCCCATGACCTACAGGACTGAGTTGTTTTTACCCACAGGAAGCTCACTGGCTCACAAGATCTAACTAGAAACCATCCCTTTTCTCCAGAGGAAAGTACACTGCTTCAGAATTAATTGTGCCTTTTCCATTTTCCTCTTAATGCTGAAAAACTTACTCCTTCTCACCCAGAAGTTACCTCTTAACCTCTTTTACCTTGTAAACCAATAAAGCAATATTGTTTGAACAGTCCTGTTCCATTACCTACTATTCATATAAAAGATAAGTGGTATTTCCTTATAAAAATTATTTACTAACGTGAACTGTAAGAGACTTGAGGTTATTTCATACAATTTATTACTAACAACAACAACAACCAGAAGAGCAGCTAACTGGAGGCATTGCAGGCAATTTAACTCTGTCAGTGTAGCTCAAAGGCTAAATTCTGTCTAATATACACCTTTAAAAAACCCAAACATATAGGGGGAAAAATGGTCTTTGATAGTGTATGATCCAAGTAGGTTGCATTAAATGCTTACAAAATCAAACAAAAATTTTCTTTGCAATTTGGTGTAGTCAGATTACCATTCCACAATCTTTATTTACTAAAACTGAGAGGTACTGTACTGAATTTTGAGCTGGTTTTAGTATGATTTATTGGGTTTTGATCAGAAAACTGAAAAAAACCCAAAACTTCTTCAAAGAACATCAGTGAGAAAAGAAATGAAAATAATCAAATGATCCTTTCTCTCTCAGAGCATGGATCTGTTTGGACTAAAAATTTATCAGCATGTTTATGAAAAAAATATATGTTGTGGAATGTTTCTGTCAGCTAATTCTGATTTCTTCACATTATAAAATGTTCCACAGCTGTTAGTTAGGCATTTTGCATGACTGGTTATCTGAGACACATAGTATAATTTCTTCCTCCTGAATAGAGGGTTCCAGCTTTTTTAAAAAAATAGAAGAACATTCCATGCTATACTAGGGTACTGTATGTATAGCTTTTTGTATGTTGAAAATTATGAGGTCCTCAGAGATAATTTTGTAATTATTTTGTAGGTGCACTAATAATAGGAAGCAGTAGCTAGTAAAAACCCGTAGGTAGCAATGATCAGATGGGGTTTTTTTATATTTTTAGAAGTTATTAGTGAAAACATTTACATATGTAAATGTGTATTTAAAGATCCAAAACTTGGTACAATACTCTGGCAGTAGATAATGAGAAAAGCAGTGCCCACTTCCTGTGCAGTAACAAACAGGTCTAGTATGTGTGAGATATTGACAAATATGACATTTATTTCACCAACCTGTTTAGCTAGCACTTTCTAAATTCGGTCAAAGGCAAAAGACCTTAAATGTGAGGGAAAAATCCTTGAGTTATCTAAGTCCAGTCTCTTCAGCCCACAACTATAGCAACATAATGCCTCCTGGGAAAACAGTGTGCACTTTTGCTCGCACTTCTTTGATGTAATAAGGTAACCTGATCAAGATCCACAATCAAAAAGTTATCAGTTATATCCCAAAACTCAGGCAGTAAAAAGAGAAATGCCTGATTTACCTTTGTTGACGAAGAGAAGCAAAAGGAGGGTGCCCCCACACACACATCCAAACATCATGACTCCTTCCTCCTACTCAGTATGGAGTCACTCAGATTATTTGAAGGACCATTTGCAATGTTTTGAATCAGAAACAACCCAGCTGTTCAGCAATCATTATTACTCATCTATGTGCAGTCATGACAGTTAAGTACCTTTGGAAATGCTAACAAAGTTGTTATTTTTCTTTTCAGAGCTCCTTTGAGACTACAAAGACTGTTTAAAGAAGGAAGACGGCATGAGATTGGATTCAGTGCAGTAAAGTAGGTTAGTTTGAGGACAAGACAAAAAGTCATTATTTAGACCTTCTTGTGTTGCCATGATGAGAACTTACCATTGCTTCTGGCTGCTGTTTTGGGCTAGTCAGCCCCACCAAAGCTTCTTAACTCCGTTATCCAAAAGGACTAGTGGCTTTCCAGAAAAGGAAAAGGTTTTGGTATTGTCTGGAAACAGCAGGCAAGACCTCCATCGTTCCAAAAGGAGCTGGATGTGGAATCAGTTCTTTTTATTGGAGGAATACACAGGAACGGACTACCAATACGTTGGCAAGGTAAGCTTCTTTCCTACACATCCAAGTTTTGATTTTAGAAATGCTGGAAAGCCAGCAATAAAAAGTAGGTAAGAACAAAGCCTGCTACAACTTCTGGTTCTCTTTGCTGTGCCCAGCTTCTGCTGGTTACCTTTCAGCAGAAAGGTTAGTATGCTTCAGCTTCATATTATAATCAACAAGAAGACATTCCTCATTTAACCAGGAAGTCCCATGGCAAATCATGCACAATTCTATTAAAGATTTTCCTTTTTATTTTTTTGTCTGGAAATAATGCACCTCAATTATAGGCCAGATTTTTAGCTTTAAAATGCAATATATATTCTCCCTTATGCTCAATAATTTTGCTAGAGTCAAAATATATAAACAAGAAGAGGTTTTGGTCTAAGTTAGGATTCACAATACCTACATTTTTGGTGAGGATTCTCTCTACCCGGCAAAGTCAAGTTTGTTTCTCTTTTTATTCCCCACTCCACACAACAGTGCTGCAGACATTTTCTGATGAGGTTTCGTGGTTTCACTAAGGACTCTGTGACATGACCTTCATACCACAAGCCATGCTATTACAAGCCACGGTTGAAGCACGCCGTGTGTAAACACTATGAAGCAACAGGCAGCTGAAAATTTCTAATCTCAAAGCATGCTGACAGTTAGAAAAGGGTGTGTAAAACATTATTTAAAAAAGAAAAATCACAGCCTAACTCTGAGAATCTCCACCTCCCTGAGCAGCAGACCCCGTGTAGGTCTTTATGTGAGCTTCAGAGCTAGTACACCTGTGGTAAGAGACTAGAGAGAGTCTATACTACCAAAGGTGCCATACATACTCTATAGGAGTCTGTCTTGCATAGTGCAAAAATTATGCTATTGATGATGACATTCAAAGCAGAAACAATACAGCTTGGTTTTCCAAACTAAAATGGGGTTGTGTCTGATCTAGTTTGATCTCTCAAGCCTCTTAGCAAAGGCTGCAGATCACAGTGGTTTGACATTTTATCTCCCTCTGCAAGCTTCTGAGCATTCCCATGAGAGATGGTGGCTGCTTTTCTTGCCTGCCAGTCAACTGTCAATCAAAGTTGGATGTGACACTCCTTTCCTCCTAAATGGCTGCAAGGCATGATTCAAATGAAGAGCTACTCAGCTGGTGTAATACTCATAGAGCTCCAACCAGGATAATCAGCATTCATGAAGGGTACCATTGAGCCCAATCTACAGGAAAAGGCCAAAGGCAGAGAGTCCTCAGAGAGGAGAAGTAGAGAAGGAAGATAAGAGGATAAGAAAAAAAGCCAGAAGAGAGTGAGAGGAAAGAACTAGAAATACAGAGGTGGAAAGAATGGAGAACTTTACAAAGAGGAATCAAGATGGAAAGGAAGGAAAAATGAGATCAAATGGCAGGTAGAGGATAGGAGAAAAAGTTTACCCAAAGAGAACAAAAACAAAAACAGAAGGTGAGACATTGAAGGGGAAAAAAAAAACCAATAGGTAAGAAACTTTGAGTCAAGGGGAAAGAAAAACCAAGGGAAAGACAGTAGTCCTCCACACTCTCCTGTTTCTTAGTCTACTGAGGGGATTGTCAGGGTAATGAGGATCTTTTTCTCCAAAGATAAAGCAGGTGGTCCTCGGCCAAGTCCTGAAGTCTGTCATTTTCCCTGTGAATTCTGACATTAAAGCCTGCTCAGCCCCACTTCTCTCCACTGCAGAATTAGAGTAGAGCTATTGATTTCAGATGGACTGATGGGGGAGGGAATATTCCTGCAGGATGATTTTGCTGAGAGACAGTTTTAAAATGGTCTACTTGGACCAAAAAGCCAAGAAAGTTTGAACAGGAGACATAGAAAAAAATGTAGATCTTATTTTTTAAAAGTTGTTCTTCCACCTATTTGTACTTAAATACATTTACTGTTTCAAAGCATAGAAACAACACATAATGTATAAATGTCATTGATTCTGTGTTCCTTAGAGATTCGTATGTGGCCTTTCACACATCTTTCAAATGCCAGAACTGCTCACACCCTTGTAACTGAACAATTAGCCACAAGGCATGGAAAAGCAGCCTTTTTTTTTTTTAAAGTTGGGTATTGGTGTGAAGATAAATGATAGAAACAGCTGAATTTCTCCAAATTGAGGTAACCAGTCAATTTAACTGAGCAATTAAACTTGATTGGTGTGGGTAAATGAGGATAATGAACGTTTTTATGAAGCTTTTTTTTTTCTCAGAGGACTAAATGTTAACCTTAAATATGGACTTTAAAATAGTAGGAATATAAAGAAGAAATGTGAACATCAAAATATCTTAAAACAACAACAATATATGTATGTAAAGGGGACTTGTGTTTATGTCTTAGTGTGTAAGCAGTCAGACCTGGATCTTCTGAAGTTTTTGTGTTTAGTGGTTAAAGATGGTGGGTGTCAACATCATTAAAAAAAATATTCCATATAAGCTGCAAAAAAAATCTTTTTCTTGGGCTGGTTTTACTCTTTTGCTTTTCATTTTTTTAAACATCTGTTTAATCCAAATATCTATGTAAAAATTTGAGATATAAGAAGTCCGTTGTGAAAGATTCTAACAAACAGCATTATTTCTATGAACTGCCCAAATTACAGTTGTAAAATCCTGTAACTGGTTATACTACAAAAAACACATTTACATCATAGTAGATTAAGAGAGAAGAAAAAGAACAGTAAACCATTTGAAATAATGAAAAAGAAAGGTAATCTCTCTGAAGACAGAGCTCAAGGCAGTACTGAAGACGATGCTGAATCCAAGTCATGGACCAGGGTACTATTGTGCTCCATACCTGATATACTCTTTATCCATTGAACCCAAAGCTTTCCATCCTTTAGGAGTTAATTGCCCAAGCACATATGAACCAAACTAGCTATCTTTTTGGTACCAGTGGGTACTGTCAGCTGTTAAAAAGTTCTGCCCTGTTTTTTATGCTACACACTTTACTGTCAGCCCAAGTATGCAGCTGTATCGCACTGGACAAGGATAAGTGGCTGCCAACAAGAAGCTCGCAGTGTTATAAATGCAAGTTGATTGTATGCTGTAGCTCTGACACCAGATCCATTGTTTTATTATCCATTCTTGTACTCCTGAATTTCATTCCTATATATTTGTGAAATAAACACTTTTAAAAAGAGTCAAAATTCATGCCTCCAGTCACTGTAGCCTCAGACATAATAATGAGGAACTTGAAGAAAAGTTTTAGACTGGAATTATTCATTGCACTGCTGAATAACTTGTGAACTACAGCTATGCATTGAAGTGTGACTGATGGGCACAGTGACATTTTAACCTGAAGATATCTTTTCTTCCGGTTCAGAAATTATGGCACTTGGCAGGGACTCAATCCTAAAATAGAACAAAAGAATTACATGAGCATCAAAGTAGAGCAGCATCTAGCACTACTACCTTGCCAAAATTTGCAGCATTTGAATTGGGTTCTAAAAGTGATCTAGTTGTACCGGTGGCTACTTAGTACAATTTTATAGAGGTGGGGTGAATGCATCTTTAAATCACAGGTAAACAATGAAGTGGTAGTGCAGCTGTATCTAGAAATATATGCAGCATTCCCTAGAGATCTTCAGATATGCCGGGGAAAAAAAAAAAAGTGAAAAAATCTGCCCTGTTCCAAGATTATACTCAAAAGTATCGTTATCATTTGTATGCACTTGACAGCTTTTCATGGCTGTCCCATTGGCTACATAAAATCCATGAACTGGCATCCACCATTGAGGTTAGAGCACAAACCTAGAAATCATTGTTATATAAAGGACCAGGATGCCACTTTCTTTAGGACTGAGGAAAGATCCGAACAAGTCTTAAATCTTACTCTGTAATCACAGCTTCTGGCGTCCTGCAATGGAAATGACCAACTTGCTTTCCTGGTAACAACAGGCACAACTGTGGAACAGTTTTGTAACACTCTCTCTGTCTGGCACTAAAAGGAAACTTTCAGACGTACTTTTCATTTTTGCTGTGTCTTATTGATGTTCATATAGTTCAAGCATTATGCTCGCCTGGAAGCTATCTGATGTTACTACCTGTACAAACCATCATAAATAATCAGCCTCTGCTGACAACTCCATTTTTCAAGGAAGATAAAGTCCAGGTCGTGCTGGTATGTGGCTTGGCAAAGCAAAAAGGATACTGTGTTACTGTAGGCAAACCCACAATCCTTTTGTTTGGTGTTGAAGGAACTACTGGCAAAGATAAATTCCCCTCCATCAGGAATGGTTTAAGATACTGTTTTGGAGGAGGAGGGGATCAACTAAATGTTACCATAGTATAGTTTCAGGACTGTATTTCTTTTTTTTTTATCTGATTTTACTTCTGGCCACAACTATTCTGAAGGCAAGCAGAGCAGTGTATTTCACGAGAAGCAAATCAAACAAAAGACAGAATCTCTCCGAGCTAGTTGCAAGTAAAGGTAGTAAGCAACATACTGAGTTAAAAGTATCTGGCTCTGAGCACACACAATGGGCTATTTAAACAAAGAAATTAATTGACGTGTAATACAGTCCATGTAGTACAGTCCATGTAGTATATTCCATATCTTTTCAGCACTTGAGATAGTAATGGGTCACATTACTCCAGCAGTTAAAAGGTATCATATCTTAATTGGATGATATGATAACTATCAAGAAAAATCTTCACTTTCTCTCAGATCTTTAGTATGCTAGTATTCTGTACTTACCTTCAAAATTTTTGTTCCCCAAAAAATGCAAGACATGGAAAGTCAAACTAAAATGACTCCCCATCTGCACTTTTAACATCCTTTATGCAGTTCAGTTGGAAGAAACTTGCTCAGTATTTGTTTTCCGTGCCTTGCAGCTTGCACTATGATATAAGCCTGATGCCTTCAGTTTCCTTTTCCAAACACAGTGACTATTTGTTACCTTTATGAGGACTAAAATTAAAAGTTATCCTTTTAACTTATATTTATTCAGGGAGCATATTCAAAGCAATTTTCAATTTGCGTTTGATTCTCAGAATATCCTGT